GCATGCACAATCAATGACGAGCAACTTGTAAAGAAAAATAAAAAATTAAAAGAAAAGTTATCTAGTTCATAAGATGCTTATAAAAAGTTTGCTTGCTAAAATGGAAACCATGTGCAAACATTGTGATGAGCTAACTAATAAAGTTGCTAATCTTGAAGCCGTCAGTACAACCCTCACCAAGGCACCTAAAAAGAAAAGTTCCATCTTTGACATGCAAAAAAGGACGCTTCTACTTCTTGCAATGATTTATATTTAGGCTCACCCTTGTGCAACCAAGTTTGTGTTGGGAAAGTTGTTGTAGATACATGCACACAAGAGGCCGCAATGGAGAATGAGCAATTCAAGCAAGAAGTGGCTCGTCTTACCATGGACTTGACACAAGTAAAAGGCAAAACAGAGCAAGCCTAACTTCATCAAGATAACACCGTCAAGAGAATAAAGAAGCTTGATAAAGGACAAACCATGGTTTGCTACGTGTGCCACAAGGAAGGCCACAAGTCTTATGAGTGCAAGGTGAAGAATGAGGGAGGAGCTAAGAAGAAAGAGAAACAAAAAGGAAACAAGCAAGCTCTCCAACATCTACACCAACAAGATGGACAAAAAGGCCTCCACACCTTATCTCTTGAAGAAAAAGAAAATGACAAGGTGGCCATCAAGGTGAACAAGCAAGCCAACAATGGGGCCAAACGCATTTGGGAGTCAAAGGAGATCATTTCCAACATGAAGAGCACCAAGAAGGTTTGGATCCCGAAAGGGAAGTGAGAAGTCCGATCGACTTCAGGAAATTTGGAGACTTGGTATAGTTTTGGGTTCATTTCATGGGGTGCATCACATTGGATCATGTCAACTGCCAAGTGGGTTAGTGAACACTATGGATCTAAATTCTCCTCCCCATTTTAGGTAACTAGATTTAATTTCTTGCAATTTTAATTAGCATCTAGTTCCATTTTATGCCTAGGTTTGCATTTGCATGTTTAATCTTTTGTCTTGCATACACTAGGTATATCTTATGGTAGGCTTGCTCGGTTTCACTCTTAACCCTTGGAGCAAACCTACATGGTTTAAATTATTTAGGAGCACGGCACATAGCTTGTTTTACAATTGTTCATCTAATATGTGCCAAAGTCCAAATTGTAGATAATTTCTCTCGAATATCACTTTCGAAAATGATTCTCACATTCATGTGATATCATCTTTCAAGTGGTATCTTTGATTCTAAAATCAATGTGCATGTCTCCTACGGATATTCCATACTTGTGTGCACAAATTTAGGGAGAGGTTACTCTACAAGTTGGATGCTGAGACTAACACCTTTTCAAGCTTATCATATGTGTAGTAGTCTTATTGCAAGGAAAATGGAGTCCCCGGAGTTAAACATCATATTTCAAATATCCACCACCTATTGCAAGTGGTATAAATCAAATTGGTTTCCACATGTGGTATTTCTAAACCGATATCATCATGTTGATTTCACTTTGGTATTTATATGCTTTCTCCATGCATTATATAGATTAAACTCCCTTGAGCATTAATTTGCCAATTATGCATAAACTACATTCTCCATTATATGTATGCATATATTTAGGGGGAGCTTAGTCTATGTAATGTGAGAGTCAAATTTTGTGACCTATTCCACTCCACATACAAAGGATCACAAAGTTTGATCCTCCCTTGTGCTACTAATATCTTCCTTTTCAGTGTTTGATTCCAAAGGGAAAGAATTTGTAGGACCAAAAGCAAGCCCGATCATAATAATTTACAAGTAGTAATGGTCCGAGAAAGGGAGGATAGTGGATTATAGAGTTAGGGGGAGGCTTAAATCCATAATGCCACATGGGGATATTTGCAAGGGCAAGATAAGTTTCCAAAGATGTTTACATGTGGTATCACTTAGCATCATAATAACCTTGCCCTTTGCGTTGCATCCTAGCAAGTAGATAGTTTTTAAATTCCAAAATTCTTATTATTTGCTTGTTTTGGTCGTGCTGTCATCAATCACCAAAAGGGGGAGATTGTAAGTAAAATAGACCCTAATCCCATTTACTTTGGATTTTGGTGTTTGATGACCAACACAGCCAAATTGGACTAATGAATTTGCAAGTAATTGTTTTGTAGTTCAATAGGGTGCAAGACGTGACTTGGACAAAGGCAACATGATGATCCCATGATCAACACCATAATGAAGACTCTAGAAGCACAAGAGAAGACCCAAGATATCAAGTAAAGTCCAAGCACGAAGATGGGAACCAAGCTGGACGCAAGATAGCGAAGAAATGAGCTCGGCAGAGGTAACCGGACGTGGCCCTATGAGGACCGGACGCATCCGATTAGTTGCTCGGAAATAGCAGAAGTCAGCAGCAGCGATCGGACGCTGAGCGAGGCAGTGACCTGACGCACGGACTCCACTGTTCATCGTTAACGGCAATGCTCTCAGCGTGACCGGACGCGACGGCAGGACAACAGAACGCACCAAGAAGTAGCGTCCGATCATGTCCAGAAAGGTTCCAGAGCGACGCCAGCGCGACTGGACGCGTCCGATCGAGTGAGACCGGACTCAGCCCAGAGTCTAATCAATGCGCGCGCTCCAACTGTCGGCAGGATCGGACGCGTCCGATCGGGACGTGATCAGCGTCCGGTCACTAGCAGAAAGTTGGGTCTCGGGTCCAACGGCTAGTTCTCACTTGTGGGGCTATAAATAGACCCCCAACCAGCCATTTGAGGGGAGAAGTGAGGAAACATATCAAGGGTGTTGATACACCATTTTAGTGCTCTCCATATGCATAGTGCTTAGTGATACACTTGGTGATTAGCGTAGGTGCTTTGCGAAGTGCTTAGGTTAGTTAGACCACCGCTTATGCGCTTGCTCTAGGTTTAGGCCTATTGTTTAGTGAGGTTAGAATACCTCTTATCTCTCGATGCTTGCGCGCACCAATGGTTGTACATCGGAGGGGCTTGTAGTCTTACGAGACCACACCAACCGTGTTTATGGTGTGGCCGCCACCGTGTACCGAAGGGAACAAGGCTCGCGGCGTTTCGACCGGAAGCTTGATAGTGAAGACGATGGGGAGCATCCGGGAGAGGCTTTGCCACGAGTGGCTTAACCGGATAGCCGCTTGCGCGTGGGGAAGGTCCGGAGCTATCCACGGAGTTACCCGACCAGGAGGTTGGCCATTGTGAGGGATTCCTTGCGAGGGGCTCCAACGAGGACTAGGGGGAAGCTCGTGTGCTTCTCGACACCCCGGTAAAAATACCGGAGTCATCGACGGGAGTTTACACATCTCTAATTTACTCTTTAGCTTCCGTATTTATATTGCAATCTTGGTTTGTGCTTTACTTTCCTAGCTTAGTGATAGACTAGTTGATAGGATTAGAACTTACGTTGCATAAATCTTTTTTGCGATAGAGAAAGCAACGTACTAGTAAAACCGTAGTTACGTATTTAGATAGTTTATCCTTTACACAGGTTTTGTTAAGAATTAAAAAAAACCATAGTTTAAAGTTAGAGTTTTAAATTATCTAATTTATCTCATTGTTAGGCGTCACGATCCCTTACCAGCGCCAATTTATGGATAGCTGCTGTTCCTGGAGTATAAAATTGTTGTGGTGTTTTTTTCTTTAAGACTATGTTTTGCACCCTTTTTTTTTGGGCCATTTGTGCACTTTTTTTTTTTGACCATTTGTGCCTACGACGCCTGCCCTGGCTGGTGGCTGGCTGCGCGACCCGCGCCCGCCCTGGACGCGCCGTCTGCGCGCGGGGAGCCGGTCCCGGCTTCGGCTGCGACGCTCGCCTCGGCCGCGCTTGCCTCGTGCAACGCCGCCCCATCCTCCAAGCTGACGCCGGCGAGCATCTAGGGTTAGGCGAGTGCCGGTCGTGGCTTCTCCACGAGTCGGAACCGAAACACCCGACCCCCTTCTCTGCTTGCATGTGTAATGAGCCAGGGAAGTCTTTTTACCAGTGGCCCCACATGTAAGTTAACCCTACAGTAGGTCTAAAGTGACGGTAATGTCATGTTTGAAACGAAAATTTCCAGTGAAGCTAGATAAGGAAGATTTCAACTTTGGGTGCTAAATTAGGAACAAGAAATTTTTCAGTGTTAAATAAGAAATTTTCTCATTCGAAAATGGAGAAGGGCAGGTTCATGGCTGCAGTACTGCACCATCGAGTCATGCGATGATGCGCATGAATATGGTGTGGCTTAATCCATTATCTTCTCGCTCCTCATTTTTTTTGTGGTTGTAAGATAGGATTGTTTGATGTATCATGTACCATTACCTCGTTCCCACTGTGAGAAATAAATCATTCTATCAAATTTGAAGAATAGACTTACAATGGACCACCTGATCTAGAATGGTTTGGTTCTTGAAACCAAACAACTTTCCTTTGTTAGTACAATTATCCTTTGTCAGTCGTTGCCAGCGGGTAGCATAAAAGAATGTTGAATAATACCAAAATGAAAAGAAACGACGCTTCAACTGAAAGCAGGATAATGCACAAAGCAGCAACCATCACACAAGGGACCTTTAGCTTCAATATTTGTACAGAGAATTTATCGAAGATATGAACTAGAGCATGCTTGCCACAAGTAGCTAGCCCAACAGAATGCTGATTTAATGAGCAATGCACAAGCAACTCCTAATTGAGGAAAAATAAAAGCATCTTACTGAAACAGACTGCTTGAATCTTCCCATCACTCACATGATTGTAATATCAAAATTGACAGAATAAACTCCTTCAGGAACATGAACGGCAGAAAGGCAGTCAGGCAGTGTACCATGAAAAACCTGGGCTCCTATCAGTAATTTGCCCACCTAAAACTTATAACAAGCACTACCGGTACACTTGGGCACAACACTATGATTCCCGGCTTAGCAAGTTGCTCTCGTTCAGAAGATGACAACCATCCTCTAAAAAATTCAACGTATAAGTAGGGTTGAACTCATGTAATGAATACAATTGTCTCGGTGAAGAATGATTGTTTAGTTATATCTTAATATGGAGCTCATGCACTGGCCTTCAATGTAGCCTCCTCCGTAGCAGGAGCTGGTGCTGGCGTGACACCTCCAGTTGTCGGCCTGTGTGATTGCAAAAGGAGGGTTTAGGAATCATCAGTTTTTTCATCCTTCTAAAAAGTTGATGTATGTTCTGTTAAACTACTCGCAAGACACTTACAGTCCAACCATGACTTTGAATGCATCATAAATACCCCACTGGGCTCCAGTAAGAGTACCGATCATCACAATACGAAGAGGAAGACCACGAGTGAAGAGGCCCCAGAGGCCAAGCTTCTTAACAGCCTACAAAATATACAGCAAGTAGCTGATGAACATCACAGCCAAATTGGAAAGAAAACTAAACATCTTAAGCAGGTGACAGTTAGAAAGTGCTTACATCACCAACCGTAGCACCCTTGGCATTGTTCAGGAAAGAGACCAAGTTATCAGCAGGGTGAGAAACAATGGCACAGAAAACACCAGCAATGTAGCCACCGGCAAAGCTGATACCCAATTGGAAAGGTTTGCTACACTCTGACTTTGGAACAGGAACAGCGTTCTTGTAGATAAGTTCAACAATGGTCTCAAATGAAGCAAACTTCATCATCGTATCTGAACAGAATCAGGTCAAACATAAATAAACAGCTACCAGAAGCACAAAGTATCTTCGTTTCAAAAAAAGAAAAAAGAAAAAGAAGCACAAAGTATCCGGCACAAATATCAAGTTGAAGTGCAGTAATGATGTAGTCTTAAAATAGGTGCTGCACTTGATCTCCTAAAGTTAAGTCAATAAACACAACAGAAGCACATATCTGTAGTTCTGTCATAAGTCAATGCAAAGAAAAACTACTTCAAAACGCAGAAATTTAATGTGTTGAGCATGTCCATATTATAAGGCGAGTAATTCCACAATGTGTAATACAAGGAGAGCTTTTTTCTTATTTTAAAAGTGAACAAAAAGTAGCCTTTGCTACTTTTTGAAGCAGCATGTGAAGAAATCGTAACTCTGACAATACTAATAAAAATATCGTGGAGGTTGACTAGGTTTCATTTAACCTTTTTCTTCACTGTGGCAGGAGAATGATATCAATCATTGCTCAAAACATAAAAATAATGGCAATGGAAACCGTGATTTATATAACAACTACAATTCAAGAACAATGAGGCGTATATACAAAATCAGGTTAACTCTGATTTGCTTTTATAACAAAAAGAGGTTAATAAAAATGGTCAGTTTTAAACTCAATGAAATCAGAGTACTACAACTTATCAAGACGAATTTTAACTCCATGAATATAATTTAAATCAAGGCCATTCAAAAAGGTAAGAAACATTATATATTATATATACAACAACAACAACAACAACAACAAAGCCTTTAAGTCCCAAACAAGTTGGGGTAGGCTAGAGTTGAAACCCAACAGAAACAATCAAGGTTCAGGCACGTGAATAGCTGTCTTCCAAGCATTCCTATCTAAGGCTAAGTCTTTGGGTATATTCCATCCTTTCAAGTCTCCTTTTATTGCCTCTACCCAAGTCAACTTCGGTCTTCCTCTGCCTCTCTTCACGTTACGTTATCTATCGACTTAGGATTCCACTACGCACCGGTGCATCTGAAGGTCTCCGTTGCACATGTCCAAACCATCTCAAACGGTGTTGGACAAGCTTTTCTTCAATTGGCGCTACCCCTAATCTCTCACGTATATCATCGTTCGAACTCGATCCCTTCTTGTATGCCCGCAAATCCAACGCAACATATCGCGATTTCCGCGACACTTAGTTGTTGAATATGTCGTCTTTTAGATGGCCAACATTCTGCACATACAACATAGCAGAGTCTAATCGCCGTCCTATAAAACTTGCCTTTTTAGCTTCGTGGTACCCTTTTGTCACATAGGACACGGACGCTTGCCGCCACTTCATCCACCTGCTTTGATTCTATGACTAACATCTTCATCAATATCTCCATCCCCCTCGTAGCATTGATCCTAAATATCGAAAAGGTATCCATCCTAGGCACTACTTGACCTTCCAAACTAACATCTTCCTCCTCCCGAGTAGTAGTGCGAAGTCACATCTCATATACTCGAGTTTTAGTTCTACTAAGTCTAAAACCTTTGGACTCCAAAGTCTCCCGCCATAACTCCAGTTTCGATTCACTCTGTCCGGCTTTCATCAACTAGCACTACATCGTCCATGAAAAGCATACACCAAGGATGTCCCCTTGTATGTCCCTTGTGACCTCATCCATCACTAAAGCAAACAAATAAGGGCTCAAAGTGACCCTTGATGTAGTCCTATCCTAATCGGGAAGTCATCAGTGTCTCCATCACTTGTTCGAACTCTAGTCACAACATTGTTGTACATGTCCTTAATGAGCCCGACGTACTTTCGTTGGGACTTTATGTTTGTCCAAAGCCCACCACATAACATTCCTTGGTATTTTATCATAAGCCTTCTCCAAGTCAATAAAAACCATGTAGGTCCTTCTTTTTCTCCCTATACCGCTCCATAACTTGTCTTATTAAGAAAATGGCTTCCATGGTTGACCTTAGGGCATGAAACCAAATTGGTTCATAGAGACCAGCGTTATTGCTCTCAAGCGATGCTCGATAACTCTCTCCCATAGCTTCATAGTATGGCTCATCAACTTAATTCCCGATAATTTGTACAACTTTGAATATCCCTTTATTCTTGTAGATCGGTACCAATATACTTCTCCTCCACTCATCGGGCATCTTGTTTGATCGAAAAATATGGTTGAACAACTTGGTCAACCATACTACAAATATGTCCCCGAGGCATCTCCACAGGATTTCGATTGGGATACCATCCGGTCCCCATCGCCTTACCTCCTTTCATCCTTTTCAACGCCTCCGACCTCAGATTCTTGGATTCTCCGCACAAAGCGCCTATTGGTGTCATCAAAAGAGTCATCCAACCGAAAGGTTGTGTCCATATTCTCACCATTGATCAATTTGTCAAAATACTCTTGCCATCGATGTCGGATCTCATCCTCCTTTACCAAGAGATGCTCCCTTTCATCCTTAATGCACTTAACTTGGTTGAAGTCCGTGTCTTTCTCTCACGAACCCTAGCCATCCTATAAATGTCCTTCTCTCTCCTTCCTTCAGTACTCAAATGTTGATAAAGATCCTCAGACGCTTCTACCCTTTGCCACACTTTAAAGTCTTCTTTGCCACCTTGTACTTCTCTATGTTGTCCACACTCCTGTCATGGTACAAGCGTCTATAGCATTCTTTCTTCTCCTTAATAGCCCTTTGGACTTCCTCGTTCCACCACCAAGTGTCTTTAGCCTCGCGTCCCCTTCCTTTGGTTACTCCACACACCTTTGAGGCTACCTTCCGAATGTTGGTTGCCATCTTGTCCCACATATATAAAGAAAAAAAACAAAGTAGAGATGAACTTTCATCCAGGTCATCAAAGAGGAATGAAAACATGAACTATGAAGTGCAGTTGTGTTACTCATACATCTAAAGTTTGAAATGGAAGGCACAAGGCTCGTGGCCTTGTGGGACTAACATATGAGGCTAACTGAGAGAAACATGTTGGTTAGGTTTCAGCAGGGTTTGGTTTGGAAAAGCACAATTTCAAGCAACCAATAGATTACAATGAATACAACTAACATGGAGAGCCATTAATATGAAACGTTGCCAAAGGGCCCAAAACATACAACATGGAGAAAATATCAACATGACATATTAACAAAACAAATAAGCTATCCAGATCAGATTTACTTACAAGGAATCTGACGACCCCAGAGAGGGACAATTCCCTTGTAAAGCCTGCAGGTTTGACAAGAAAATGTTCACACAAAAGGCACTATTGCCAACAGAAATAAATTAATTCAGATTAAAGAAAAACAAGGTTAGTTCCTAACCCCAGGGCACCATCAGATTTGATGAACTTAGGGAGCCCATCACTGAGACCACGAGCAAATCCAGGTTGTGTCTGCACACGGACCTTCACGGCTTCAAAGGGGCAGAGAGCCACATCAGCAATCACCTCAGCAGAAGCCGACCCAGCCAGGTATATCAGGGTCTTGTATTTCTGAGCGTACTCAAGCCCAGCAATATCTGAGTAGTATTTCTTAAAGAATTCATAGAATCCAAACTTGCAAGCTCCCTGAGCACTGTAGCCCAGCAGGGTGGGCACCCACCCCCTGAAGAAGCCCCTCACTCCTTGCTCCTTGGCCAGTATTCCAAAACCAGATGTGATGCTCTTGTATTTTGCTGGATCAATCTGAAAAGTTTATCAAAATGCTAAAGTCAACTTTTTTTTGACAGAGGTAAAACCCTGCTTTTATAGAAAGTGTATAAAAGTTCAGTACAAGCTAAAGTCAAAACTCATACCCTATTAAGCTAGCTGTAGTTACCAGCGGAAATATACTTATCTATATATATACCAACGAATGATTTATATCAACCTAACTATGCACATAAATTACAGAAGCGTGCATAACAATTTGAATAACACATTTGCTCACAAAACTGTGCAAACTGCATTAGAACAATCTGGGAAATAAACCCATAAAATATATTATTATTCTGTAACCAGTTGGATACTAGACATTAGAGAGGTGACAGTGCACAAAAAAATGATCACAAACATCATTTAACCTATAGTTCTAATAGTGAATGATTGACTACATCATACTTATTCGATGGCTAAAAAATAACCAAATATATACAACCTACTGCACGATACACTCATTAACAACCATCGTCAGTAAATCATTCGCCATGTACTCATTTACACAACTACACACTACCTACTTGGACAACACAAATAAAGGAAGCGGCTATGAGAATCAGGGTTCTACAGAAAGCGAAATCAGACAATCAGCACCACTGGATCTATCAAATCGCAACCGATAAGTAGGCCGGCACCAGCAAATCGCCGGATCTACCTCCCCAGCCACTCACCTGCATGTTGCACTTGACGAGGTCGAGCGGCGTGACGGCCATGTGGGTGAGCCCGCAGCTGGCGATGCCTCCGGCCGTGCAGGCTGCGTAGAACGCTGGCGAATACATCTCGATCTTCTCATTGGGTGAATGGATCGTGAACGGCAGGGGGCCACCTCCCGCTACACTCGGGGCCGGGGCCGCCACGGCGGGCGAGGCGGGGAAGCGGGAGGCGCCTGCGAACGACCTCGCCGCCGCCGGGGAGTAGAGGAAGCTCGGTAGGAGTGACTCGCGGGAGCGGTCAGAGAGCGCCATTGCCGCCGAAGTTTGGAGGGTCTGCTCCGCTGGGCCAATCATCTCGGCGGCGGTGGTGCTCTCTGCGCTCTCGCGTTCACGTGGATTTGGCGATGGGGAATGGGAGAAATTGGACCGTTTCTGACGTATTTGGGCCTGCGTTGCCGATCAAGCCCACGCGCCGCGCAGCTGACCGAGCAAGCCATGCAGTAAAATCCAAAAATACTAACGTCAGCACACCCATACTTTTTAAAGTTAAAAAAATTATAGCTCCTAAAATAAGTATCCTAATTAGGACATATTTGAATATACGTGTATCCACCTCAATTCACATGTGTTGGAGTGGAATGGAATGGAACTTAGTTTAATTCCACTCCAATCCACTTCAACACATGTGGATTGAGATGTGGATTGAGATAGATACATATACATCCAAACAAGGCCTCAGGGGGTATTTGGGACTGCTCCACAAACTTTGCTCCATAAGCTCCACCGTGAAGCAGCTCCACAAAAAACTGGAGTTTGTGGAGCGCCTCTTTAGGTGCTTTCACAACTCCACCCTTTTTCTTCGTTTGTTTGAAAAACGTAGAGCGGAGTTGAAAAACTTGGAGCGGAATAGTCCCAAACCCCCCTTAAAATCCGATTACACCATCATGTTCCTTGCAATAAACTTTTCAAAACAAGACCCCACATGAATACATTTCAATAAAAAATTTTAACGAACATTTATCTCATAAGAACATGTATTTAATGATAATCGTCGAACATCACATTAAAATTACACGAACATTATAAAAATATAGTATAGAACATCATATATATACTATATGAACATCATAAATATCATGAAATAAAAAATAAAATAATAAAATTAGTGAAGTAATTAATCAGAGTAAAATAAAAAGAAGAAAAAATTATACCGAACATTACAAAATATATCCTAAAACATCAATGTATACTACCGAACATCACAAACACATCGTAGAACATCATATTTGTATTCGCGGACATCACAAAATGCATAGAACATCACATGTATATTATATGAGCATCACAAAATACATCATATAACATCACATGTATACTACATGAACATGACAACATGACATATAGAAAAACAGAAATAACAAAAAGAAAAAACATATAATAGAGGAAAAATAAAAAAGGGTATTACATGGTTATTACTTAAACATCCTAAAATATATAATAAAACAACTCATGAGTACTACATAAATACTTAAAGATAATCATAGAACATCTTACTTATACTATGTAAACATATAAAAACATAAATTAGAATATCACATATATACTACACAAACAACATGTGTATATCATAAAAATAAAAAAATAAAAAGTAAAAACTATGTAATAGGGAAAACAAACAAGAAAAAACAAAAACAAAAATAAAATAGAAGCAAGAGAAGGAAGTAAAATAATTATAAAAATTAAAAGGAAAATGAAAAGAATAAGAAAGAAGAGTAATATAAAAGAAAAGAAACATAAAACTATTCAATGTTACTAATTATAGTAAAATAATAAAGAAGGACACGAGAAATAAAAAGGATAAAGGAAGTGAAAAGACAAAAAAGGAAACAGAAGAAAAAACAAAAGACGAAACCAATCTGGACCTTGAAAAGAAAAAGAAATAATTAAAAAACATAATTAGAAAGAATAAATAAAATAAAAAAGAATAAAAAACTACAGAAAAGAAAAAAAGAAATATAAGAAAAGGAAAAGAAGAGAATCAACCGTCCTCGCTGGCTCGTAAGAATTTAAAAAACGCGCATTCGGTCGCACGGTGCGGGCGCGCTTGCTTCAAACGTGTTTGTGGGCCGCGCTAGGGAACTGGGCCAAAACAAACAACACGAAGAAGGGGGTGGGGGGGGGGGAGCGCGGAGGTGTCGGGGGGCGGGGACCGGCGCGTTGACGGGTCGGCAGGGAAGATTCCCGGCGACGATGCCGATGCACTTCCCTGGGAAGTGGACCTGGTAGTAGTGTGTGCTTGCTTGACGGATTTCGCGGGAGGCGGGACTACGCCTTGTGATTGGCTTTGTGGTTTTTCGTGCAGGTGTTTTGCAGGAGCTAGTTCCGCAAGGACCGTTCTTAAAAACACCTAGAGTCAGTGGCGGAACCAAGGGACCAGCAGGGGCGTGCCCCCCCCCCCCAAGCACACTAGATTTTTTATATCCTTATAAATGTTTTAATTTACAGCATGAAAATGCAAAAAAATCATCCATTTTTTTATCAGATGTTGGGATTTTTTGTTACAAATACTAACTACATATGTGAAAACACTGAAAAAGCTGTTGAGACATACAATTATATATATATTTATTTATTTATCATACTTAAAGATGTCTTCTTATTTGTCCAGCCTCCCTTAATCAAAGTTGCTGGTTCCGCCACTGCCTAGAGTAGTTTATAGAATATTTTATTTAATAAAAAGTAGAGAAAATCATAAACTAGTTTTTATGAAAAGCTAATATATACACTTTGTTGTGATTCGTTTATCTATGTTTACATATTTTTCTATATTGGTATATTATATTATTTTATTTTTATCTTTTTCAATTTATTTGTACAGCCTATCAATCAGCCTACTCATATAGTAGTAAGCTTATATCGCACTTGCTTCTTTTTTTTTGAACGGTAGACCCATTTGCTTCTCTCGCAAAAATTTTTGGTTGTTATGCACATACTAGCTATAAGCTTACAGGCGCTTTTTTTTCTCCCCTTCACCTAGGTATAAAGCTCATCTACAGCTCTTTACTATACTTGCTCTAGGATAGTCTCACTCATAACCATGACATATGATATACTAGTTTCCATACTTGCTAATTATTTAAGTATTATTTGTATAAAAAATATACTCATAGTATATAGTTTCTACAAATAGAATTTTCATCTAATCATCTATCTACTCTTTTCTATCATCTACCTACCTAGTTGCGAAGCCGGCAATAGTATGGGTAATGCTTCTGTAAGCAAGGAGTAACTGTCGAAGGGCCTCCATGAGCCCAGGCCGCCAAGGAAAAGGGGGGCCCAAGTGATGTAGGCTGTGAATCAAGGAGACATGTTTTTTGTGCGCAATCTCTATTTGGCGACCAGTCGCGCTACGTGCTGTGCGTGCGACACCCCTCCACGATGGGCCGGCCCAATAGTGGCCTTCGCCTCCCCTGAAGTCCCTCTCCCAACGCACCCAAATTCCAAATCGACATTCCTTTCCTATCCAGTCGGACACCCCTCTACGACGTGCTGTCGGAAGTAGAGCTGCCGAACGGCGGTGGTGGCAGGTGCGAATATGGAGGGGAAGAAGCGACTGCGCAGCCAAACCCTAGCCCCAGCGCGCGCTACTATGGGGAGCTCCACTTCGCCGCGCCGGTCACCGCTCCCCGCTCCCTGCAGCGGTGGCGTCCCAGCTTCACGACATGGTGATCCCCTCTTCCTACTCCTCGCAGCCGTTGTTCCATTCGTGTTTGCGATTTATTTTTTTCTCTTGTCCGGTGATTCAGTTCATCTCCGCACTGGCACTTTTTGCTTTTTTGGTGATGTTCCTTCTACGTCTTCACAGGCTGATTCCCCTCGCAGGAGGAAACTACGCTGGTTTCTGTATTCATCTATGGGCGTCGTAATCCTCAGTTGTTTGTCACCCCTAGTCTGGTCCTAGTGGTGTTAACTTATGAGATTTCAGCTTAGGATCTGTACTGATTAATAAATTGATGATGATTCTGCAATCCTCTATGTTCCTGTTTTTAGTATAGTGTACAGAGTGTACCCAATATTTTCTAGCAAGTTAGATTATCCTTCTGTGGCAAGTTTCTTAAAAATTAAATTTAATTCAGTAATATTGTGGCAAGTTGCATAAAGATGCTGATTTAATTACTTTTTAGTGATCTACCAAGGCCAGCTAAACTTGACAAATCCATGGATAGTAGGCACAAGTCTTTAATTTGGAAACTGTGTTTGGTAGCTTCATATTCCTATGGTCTTTCTTTTTCATACTAGGTCTGGATGTGAGGTAGTTTCAGAACCGCATAAAAATGTTCTTCTGTACATGGTCTGTTCAGTCATGTTTTTATTTCTGTCCTTCAGTTTTAGTTTCAGGTTCAAATGTTTTTCGTAATTGGTAGTTATTTTTTGTTTCATTTTTTTTGTTTCATTTTTCAGTCTTTTTTTAGTTTCATATTTCAGTCACCCTTTTAGGTTCGAATGTCTTCCTAAATCATGCATATTAGTTGCCTCACCTATAATGTATAAGTTGTTACAAAAGTATAGCTATTGCACACATAAGTTGCCACAAAAAAATTTGCCTCCTAGTTTTAGTTTTCAGTCTAAAGTTTTTTTTTCAGTTCTTTTAGTTTTAGTTTTCAGTCATGTTTTTTTAGTGTTTTTAGTTTCAGTTCTTAGTCACCCTTTTAGTTTGAATGCATTCATAAATCATACCTATTAGTTATATAATAACTTATTTCTTTTTATCTCAATTATTTGTTTTGTTTTCTAGTTGTTAATTTCTTTTTTAATCAATAGTGAAGGGGACCGTGACGCCTAAGAGGAGGGTGAATTAGGCGACTTAAAATTCTACTTCTTAACTACGGCCTTCTTTTCAACCTTAGCAAAATCTATGCAAAAGATAAACTATCTAAATATGTAACTACGGTTTTGCTAGTGTGTTGCTATCTCTCCCGCAAAAGGAGTAGTGTATACAATGTGAATGCGGAAGCTCAAGAGCAAGGTAGAGATATGCAAACTCCCGTCGATGACTCCGGTATTTTTACCAAGGTATCGAGAAGCGTGCAAGCTTCTCCCTAGTCCTCGTTGGAGCCCATCGCAAGGAATCCCTCGCAAGAGCCAAGCTCCCCGTCGGGTAACTCCGTGGATAGCCTCAGGCCTTCCCCACGCGCAAGTAGGTCTTCAACGTGCCTTCCAGCAAGCCTCTCTCGGATGCTCCCCGCCGTCTTCACTATCAAGCTTCCGGCTGAACCGCCGCGGACCGTGTTCCCTTCGGTACACGGTGGCGG